ACAAAGATACCGGATTTAGTGCCATAAATATAGGAAAAAGTCTAGCAGGTAGATCACTATGTTTGAAAAATGTGATCCAGCCTTTGTTGCATCCAACAGATAGAACAGAGAAAAGAGGAAAGATATGATGTAATTCTTGAAATTCTGAAACCTTAGGATTACACATGTGTTTATATAATGACATTTTTCCGTAATAAGAGAATAATTCAAAGACTGAATTTGAACCAATAATTTTCTTTCAGTTGCCAAATCGGTTAACTCCCCCAATCACGAAAAAATTTTAGTAACAATAACAATTACTCCAGGTATATTCCATCTTATACTTTCTACATGTTGTCAAACCAAACAGGCGTTTGCAATAATACAGTCTACATCGTATTTTTTAATTTTAAACTTGAAAAAAATTTTAACAAACAACATATAATACTTTATCGTTTTTCTTAACTTTTTGTTTTATGAAGTTAACCGGTTTGGCAACTGGATCATCCATATATATAAGATAGGATATTTCGCTAGCAACATATGCGCAGCAAAATGAATAGATTTACTAGAAGCCATCCGATAAAAACAACGATAAAAACAAAGGATATTAAAGACCGTAAGAGAGAGTAAAGAATTGAAATGAGAACATATACTCAAAATTGTACGACAAGTATGCGTAAGCCTACACTATGAACGTATGTATTCTATACATATATGTTTGCTTAAGCAATTATATGTTAGCACACCCTCAAAATTTTTCAATTTTTGATTGTGTGCATTGACAATTGATTTTGAAATCTATGCTTGGTCGTTTTTAATTTTGCTAAGTTCATATGAACAGTTTTTTACGAATAAATTCGACTTTTTTTAATTGCCATTGTTTCTTTATACATTATGTAATTATTGCCAAAAAATTTGTATTATAATTATTGTTACTGGTTTCTGCTATAAATACATTTATTATTACTGTCCTTTGTAGTTGTTTCATTTTCTATAAAAAGAGAACAAAAACATTGCAACTTTTTGAAGGATGGGGATACGTTGATTTTGTAAAAATGTTCGCAATACCCGAAGCTCCGCATAAAGTGTGAATTCTAAATCGATCCAAGTATGTTCTTCTGCCTGTCTAAGTAATGTCTTAGTAAACGTTCTCTGATTGCAAAAATATACAACGAATCTGTAAAGGGCCAAGCCCACGTAACGCAAAGTATTTTGAAGTATTTGACAAAAAGTGGGTCTTTTTCTGCCACTTATATATTGCAACAGCTGCAACGAAAAAAGTTATCATCCGTACATCCGACATATATTTCAAAGTCATAAAATATCAAATTCTTTTATCCGAGACTTTAAAACGGATATCTGGCATTAACCGTCATTAAATCCTGAATACTTCTTATTCATTCCTATGTTCTTGTTTTTTTTCCATTGTTAAGATAGACTTCAAATCCGCTGGACATGGGCCAAGTCGGTCAAGGGACATGTCCACCGTGCAGTGTAAATCGGGAACGCCTCTGTTTTACGAAACGAAAACATAATCATCTTAACTATTTCCCATAAACCGTAACAAAAATTGTTTGCGTGTTGCATGTTTTAATGTACATGTGGTGGTGCTCCTTCTTGTGTTATGTGTGCTGTGGTTTCGGGTATAAAAGAGTTTTTAATGGAATGTTTCATACCCGTGCCTTCGATGCTAGTAATTAACTTCATGATAATTTTTACAGTAGCAGCATCGGTGAACTCATTGGAATTAAATGACATAAACTTCATTTTATCATTTTAACCATTTCTAAAATTAAAAAATTTTTTTTGTTTTGTTTTATTTGTTTCCTTTCGTATTGGTTAATACTTTTACAAAACCAATTTAGATAGAACATTTGAAAGCATTATTAAAAATAACAGTAATACGCTTACAGTTTGTTATCAGTGACAAATGCAACAACAACAGCAACTAACTGTGCAACTTGCGTGTAAACGGGTAATAGACAAACTCAATTTACATTACTGTCTTTTTTGCTGAAAAAGCTAATTTAGTTAAGCATTTCTACAGCATTCTATTTACATTTTGCATGCAACTGCAAATAGAAAAACACAGCATCTGATATCTGAAGGTATTGTTGAGACTAAAGGGCGTAACTCTTTTGTAGAAAAAAAAGTTCGAGTGAATTTTATTTTATTTTACATAAAGGGAGAATTGAGGTTCTTTGTCAATTTTGTGCTCGCCAACTTCAACTAATAATCATTTACCTAATATTTTAGTAAATATTTATTTGAACGATTTTCTAACACAATTACTAAGCAATCCGAATTTAAGCAGTCAGTTATTAGGCACACGTTCAAAATAACTTGTGAAAATAGGATGAGGATTATTAAGAACATATTTATTCTTAGCTATAGTTAGCTAGACTAAGTTAGGGAGAAAGCTCGTTTAGGATGGAGAATAAGAATAGAATAATAATAGGCTGTGGATAGAATAAGAATAGGATAGGAATAGATTAAGAGTACAATAAGAATAGATTAAGAATAGGGTAGGATAGTTTTAGTTTAGTAGGAGTAATATTTGAGAGTTGGTCGAGTCTGGACTCAAGCGCGAGTCGGTTGCGCATGATCCAGTGCGGAGTCGAGCCCAGTGTTATAGCCAAATTCATGCTTCAACTAGAGCCCTACTTCAACCGTACCCCAGAGGCGATATTTGTTACTGTGATTGAAACAAATAGTGATATGAACAGATCTATTGAATATGCAGTCTTACGCATACTTGTCGTACAAATTTCAGTAAATGCTTTCATTTTAGTTTCCTTATTCTCTCTTGCGATCTTTAATATCGTTCGTTTTTATCAGATGCACTTAACAAGTGTTTAATAATTTTGCTGCACGAACGTTGCTAGTGAAACGTCCCATCTTATATGTATGTAACGTTTTTGTGTCATTGTAGAATTTTGGTTTAAAATTGCCATGATCGACAAAACGAAAAGATTTTTACTATTTATGATATATACTATTATTACACTTAAAATTTGAGACTAGAGACAGGGACAATTTTTCATTTGTTTTTGTTAATCTAGTCTGGAGTACTGAATGAAGGAGTGAATAATGAAATTGTAAATCGGGTGCAAATTATAATATAACAATAATAATAATAAACTCAGGAGTAACCGAATCTTTTATATGCACTACCTTTTTCTCAGAAAAAAAAAAAACATGAAAATATATTTTCCTTACTCTATACTTTGAGTGGGCAGATTTTTATGATTTTGACACAGATCCTGTAGGATCACTCGCAAATAGACGAGGAAACTTTTATCGGTGCATGTATTTTAGGTAAAAAACCCAACTCTTTTGCTTTCGAAAACGGAGTCGTTCCCAATTTATGTTGTACTGCGAGCGTGTCCCATGATCTCTTATCAGAAAATGTCCACCCCAGGGATTAAGCTATTAACCAGAGGAACGTATGAACAGACGACAAACGGATATGGTTAAGTGCTTTTCGAATTTGAAGCATATATGTACCCTACAAGCTCTTCGGAGCTTTTGGGCCCTTGGATAATGGGGTTTTGTAGGTTTATATATTTTAGGCTATGAATAAAGAGTTAGGCTATGAATAAAGCCCAAAAAAAATATTTTTAGCGTTTGAAAAAAGATGTCCTCTTAATTTAAGTTGTTCTGCAGACAGGTTCTTGGATCGATTCAGCGGATTTTCAATATCAATTTACGCGCAAGGACTTCCAACTATTTTTGCGTCCAGGAGTATGTTTACACTAGACATAGCATAAACGGACATGCTTAAATTTTGTGTTTGTTGCATATGCTTTAAAAAGGGAATAATCCCTTGCCCTAGCACTGAGTATAAAATTTTATAAAAGCATGTATGTATCTGGTAAATAAAATGAAAAAAAAACAACGAAGAAAATCAATAATTTCAAGTCACCCTATTCCAGAAAATATAAGTTGGCCACATAAGAATTAAGTGCGTTGCACAGAGGTGCTAAAGCTTTTAACTTATAAAATCAATATGCTCGGATATTGTTTCGACCCCACTCTGTATACGACGGCTTGTTTTTGACAAGTGTAAAGATAGAAACATAATGTTTTTCTTGTACGAAACTCGTTACTTCCATATATACGTTCTTTTTTTTATTACCTATATTACCTATTTTTACCACTACTACGTACCTACATTTACTTGCCATTTTTTATTTAAATTTTTTATTTAAATTAATAATTATTTAAATTATTATTTTTAGATTGAGTTATAATGAAGCTGCAAATTCTGCCGCCTAGCACATAGAGATAAAAAGTTTTACTCGTAAGCGATTTGGGCAAAATTTTCCTCATTTAGCAATCTACTATTACTGCACACCTTTTTCTTAAAAAAGAGTTTACTATTAAAAACAACCAAATTTCTCTATATTTTTGTAATTTCCGTAATTTAAGGATTTGAGATTTTTTTATTGTTGTTTATATAAAATACGTGTTTTCACAATTAGTTATAAGCGACAAAAGATTACAAAACGTTCGATTACCGCCAATATGGCTGCATTGCCCCACGACGACTTGTTAGGGTAAAGGCCTTTTGTACAATATTCTTGAGAGAAGTAGGATTTGTGAGGTAATGGTGCAGATGGACCTATCCTTTCCATTCCATTTATATATATACATATATATATTACTATCAATGTTGGGTAATGCTTCTTTTACATTCCCAACATTTATTAAAACCCGTGTTTAAAAAACCTTTCACTTCCACTTACTTTATCAAAGGTTCGACTTTTGCTAAATTACCGTATTGCCGTTTTTCATTTTATTTTTAAGTAAAATTGTTACATCTTTAAAGCATTCAATAACCAAAATCAGTTTTGAATCATAATTAAACGATAAGAAACGAAATATCATTATATGTACTTAAGATTCTTGCACAAAGCACTTTCCATATTTTTCATGGTTCTCCTCATCCGATAATTTAAACGACCATTGTTCGAAGTACCGCATTGAGAATTTCGGTGTATTTACTACAATTAATGTTAATGGATTTCTCTTAATTTTGATTTAACGTACACAATCAGAACACCATAATTTAAATTTGGTATTCTTTGAGCATATTTGAACTTAACGTGACTTGCGACTGGCAATTGTAACTGAGCATAACTTTCTTCATTTACAAGTAGATGGCGACCAAGGCAACCATCACTGCTAGGTGCTAAGCCGCCCGTAATGATGTCGCAATAAGTGCCAGGTGGCAAAGAAGTATATAACTTCTTGCTGAATATTCTTTCAGAATCGTTGTTTATTGCCACGAATGCAGCGTGCCCTCGGCAAAAGGCTATTTGGTTAGGGCCGTTAGTTTGAAAGTACATAACACTGGTTTCACGCAGATTTCTGCCATTAAAGTAATTGGCAAATGCTACCATATTCAGCATAACTGGCCATCGATGTTCACATACCCAACCAGAAACTCGTCTACATTGATAATTGGCATCAAATTCAGGCCCCCGTATGCCGTCAGTTGTGTTCACCCTCGGTGCACCTCGGTTTACATCTCCATCTAAGTAGTGATATGAGCTCATAATCCGCTTTAAACGACCAAAGGGATGTGCTAACATGAATACGTTTGCGATAACATATTTGGTTCGCTCCTTATGTGTCAACACTCGATTGCGGCTGAGTTCACTTACTAATCCTCGTTGTGTGTCGTGCGAATCTACGAATACTAAAGCATTTTGATGTGATAAAAATCCCATCGCCGGTCCCCAATTTATTAAAGAAGTTAGTGGTGCAGATTTTGCGTTTATTATATTAGCTAATTTCACTGCATATAAGTATTCGGTCACGACGCCAATCGGCGTGTACTCAGTCCTAGAAAACGCGTTTTAAAATAATGCATTTTATGTAACTTTTTTTACAAATACATTCAATTGAAGCCTATTAAGAGGTAACAGTCAAAAGAAATTAGTTTTTTCACAATTTGCTTAGCACAAAAGAAATAGTAACGGTATAATAAAATTGTGCATGTTACTACGTATATCTTTCAGTTTTAAAAGAAAATTTCAAGTAATATATATGTATTAAATATATGTTAAAATATGAGAAAATGCGTCCTTTCTTTAACAAGTTTCGCGGCATACAAAGGAGCTGATCAAAATTTTAATTTAAGAGAAGCGGATTTTAAATCTATTGAACTTTATACGTTTGGCGAACAGTTGAAAGAAAACGTTCAATTTGCAGCGAAACGAAAGCGATCTCTTGGTAGTAAAAAATGTTAAACTAACTTATCGAGAATGTTCTATATATGTCCTCTCAGAACTTTATTTTAAATACAAAAAACTCAAATGAAAAAGATGAAAAGTGAAAGTTGTGCTGCGCACTGTTTTGCAAATACATGGTTTAAAAACACGAGTTTAAAGTTTCTGCTCTACTAAGATTGCATCTATTAACCCAATAAAAAAAAGATTTTCTTTTTTTTTTATTTACGATGGTGTTACCATTTAATCTTCAAATATGGAATACTTACTTTGATATACTATCTGAGCCCATATCGACAACGTCGTGGTAGAAAAACGGCCTAGAGCCAATGGAGAAGTTAAAATCTACATTTAAATTGTCAAGGCTATCGAAAATGTGCTTATGCGGTAAAACAAGAAAAAATTAAATAGATTTCAAAACATTAACAAATCTAAAATATGTGAAAATCTTAATTTAAAACGTACTTTCATATCTTTAGGCCACACGTGCTTTGCCGCATCAATGCGAAATCCGGCAACACCCATTTTTAAGAACTGATTTAACATCAAAACCATTTTCTCTTTGACCCCACTTTGAGCATGATTTAAGTCAGGATGTCCATTCTTCTGACAGTTTCTTATCTCATGTGCATGCACTGAGTTGTTGATTATACAAAATTTATGGAAATCGCTCTTTGTAAATGGTACGCCCGGATAATGGTAATCGGTAATGTTAACAATACGGTTTAAGGAAGAGAGTACTACTCCGTTGGTAGATACGTTACTGTAATACGCCGTCGAGAGTGAAGCCATATGATTTAAATTTACATCAGCATACAAACGGACGCCGGCATCATTGCAAATACGACTCATAGTCCAAAAATCAGACTCAGTGCCGGAACGTGATCCAATATAGTAAGAAAGCAGCTCATATCGTTCCCACCAGGGATGGGAGTACACGGAGGTATTTAATACAACATGTTCCAAGACAGGAGATAACTTGCCATAAAAAAAAATTTGCACTTGAAATGAAGCTTTTTTTCTTTTTATATCCACCACCGAAAGATGGGAGTGTAATCATTTTATTGTGTTGTAAAAAGTTGTTTTGTCTAAAAAGAAGCCTCGGATACCCTATAAAGTGTATCTGTGCGGTGCTATTGACGTTTGCTTGGTCGCAAAAATGAAGATATCGACATCAAATTTGGTAGAATCGTTGAAAGTTTCCGCACGCGGAACTGTATTGAAAGTGGAGCAAATTGGTCAGAGCACGCGCTCGCAGAAAAACGTTAACTGGACGCAACTCCGTTTCGTTACGCAAAAATATGTAAGTTTTTGCTCAGTATTCGCAAATTATGAGAGATAGAAGTTTGAATTTCTCTACACTTTATGGGGAAATCTACTGCTTATGTGCAAAAACTAATTGAATCGACCGTACTCACAGAAAGTTGCAACTGATTAAATTTTCCTTTTTTCTTCTTTTCTTTCATTCTTTTCTAATCATAAGGTTAGCAAAGCAGAATGTATAAAATTATGTTGTGCATTCACTACACACATATTATCTCCCTAAAAATGCGTTAAGTCTAAAATAAATATGATGCATAACACTACGTGGTAGATTAATTTTTTCTTAAAAAAACCATCGATATGAGTATTAAATAAAAGGACTTGGTGAGTGGAATGCGACTTCTTATTCTGTTCTTTATGTCAACAAATATAATAATAGTATGGAATCCCGGGTATTTTAGTGAAGGTGTTTGAGTATGACTTTTTCACTTATTTTTGTGTGTAAGATGTAGAATGCGTAAGCTTGCAAAGCTTAAAAAAATAGCAGAATCCGTCCGTCTTTTACTGTATCTCTCCGTCTGCATAACTCAACAGAACTGGCCAACAAATTCCGAGGACTTATTACTAGTCATACTAATAACTCCGATTTCGAAGATATGATTGTGCATCTTTGTGATTACTTGAGTGGTTCAGCCGAATCACATAAACATATGATTTCGAATTTATTTATTTCCTTGATATGAATTTCGTGAGCCGAATGTAAATTTTAAATTAGTTTATTTTGTTTATTAAGTTTATTACCTGCACACCTCCATAGCCTCGTGGACCTAAAAGTGTACGGCATTCTTCAGCTATGTCTAGGAAAGGCCATTCCATCAGTTGCACTATTATGCCCCGCGTACCCAAAAAATGTGGATTATGATATGGTGAAAATACATTTTCTCGAATTTCGTTTTTGTGATGTTCAAACAATTTTAGTTCGGTTGAAATTTTGAAAAAGGAAAATAAAGCCACGACGCTAGTAGATATTACTTTTGCATTCATGCTAAAGTGGTGAGCAACAATACTGATGAACATACCCGCAATTTCTAAAAACTCTATAATTTGGCTAATAATCTGTTAAAGCATATGGACAATTTTTGTTTGCTTAATTACATGTTCAGTAAAGTCCCTGAATATGAGACAGCCATATTGTGAACACCACAATTTCACAAAGCACGCAATCATTTGTATTTCTCCCTATTTAATTTCGTTAAATGGGTTATTTTGTGGTAATTTTCCGTCATGCAGTCATTTACAACATGCAATTACTCGATGTACGTCATTTAAAGCGCATTATTGTGCCTTCGCAATCTCTTTTCCAAATAGTGTGTTGAGAGTAGTTCAATACCCAGAAAATTTCCTACGCTATTCGTCCCTTTGCAAATTTTGTTTTATTCTTTAACATTGCTCTTTTACGACGATTAATCGGGCGAATGTTAACATATTAAAAGTTTACTTGTTGACCATTCAATCCATTGCTGTCAAGTTCAATTGTAGACAGATCTTAAACAGAAAGAATTCAGCTATAAGCTTGCTCATAGCCACGTCAAAATTTAAAATAGTCAAATGTTTCATTTGCGGCCATTTTCTTCCTTTTGGTGGACCCTTAAACGCATTAATTTTTAATTAAAAAAAAAAAAAAAAAACCATACAAGAATTCGAACTAACTTTTCTAAAATATAAATATATCTTAAAATGGTTACTCACATCTTAAAACTATTACTAATCATCACAGCATTCTTCTTCAGTTTCAGCTTCGCTTGAAACGTATAACTTTGCCATTGCGAGAAATAATAAAACACATAGGAAAATTTTGCATGTCTAGGAACATACGAATGTGTATTTTCGTGTCGACTTGCATTGCAAGCATGTTGTGTTTGCGGAAGCGTTATATGCCGAATAAGGCTTTGCAGCTGCGATTTGACCAGGGACTTGCAAAGTTGTACCATGGACTAATTTAGCACGTACGTAGGGAGTATCAGCGCTTACGGTATTTCTCGGCCCAACCAGCACTAGTGGCAAAACATTTGTCCATTTTGTATTACCGTGACGTTTAATAGCATTTTTCAGATCTCGAAGCCATCTTTTAAATGGGCCGTTAGTTTGAGGATGACATAATGTTCTATGGGTGACTTTGGAACCAAGAACAAATTCTCGGAATAGAGAGAATTCAAACTAACTGCCTTTATCAGTTGGAATTTGTCATACCTTCATTTTTATTACCATTAAATGCCAAATGGAAATAATATAGGACACTTTATCTGGATTTAACTCATAAGTTGAATGATTAATAGGTAATCTAGGGAGTATCGAAAGTGATAGAGTGGGAGCTGAAAAATTGTTAGAGTTTGATTGATGTTGAGCATTATTTGTATTCAAAAATTCAATTATTTGTATTCCGACTTAATGGTTTCAATAATGAGAGGCCTTTTCATTGAAATTGGTACGTTATTATCTGGCAGTCGTAATGGCCCATCCTATATATTTGTTTTAGGCTGCTCACTTTACTCAGATTTTTGGTTAAAAATATCAACCGAGTGACCTTTGTTGCCCTGAATTTCATTATTGTATGTTGCAGTGATATCGTTACGGGGGTTGAATATAGGACTTGCTTGGTGAGAAGTTTCCTTTGGATCAACGAACGGCTGTATGGTCAGGTGGTACGGTTGTACGGGTATGTATCTTTTATTTACAATTGAATTTATATAGTGTGTAGATATATATATTATTTTCATTATTATTATTATTTTAAGTTTAGACTAATGAATTGAATTCTTAGACTAAAAAAAAAAGACATTGAGCACAAGCAACACAGGCTATCGGCTCTAATTTAAATAAATGGATATTAGATAATAAGCTTAGTAGTATTAATAATGTAAAATATTGAATTGATATTCTGTTCTGAAGCTGATTGTAGAATGTTCAAAGGGTT